ATAGAAATAGAAAGACTGTGGCAAAAGCAAGCAAGGGTAGTACCAATAGTCATAGGCTCCTTGGGTGCAATCCCAAAACAACTGGAGCACCACTTGAACACCATTGGCATTGACAAATTCGCTATTAGTCAATTGCAAAAGGCGGCCTTACTAGGAACTGCTTCCATCCTGCGACGATATCTGTAATACCATCAAACATCCACATCTGCCTATCCCAGGTCCTGGGTAAGGACTCGATAGGTAGACAAAATGCCAAATCCAGTCTGAACATCTGGCTGACTGTGCGATGATCGATAATAACCCCAGTGAGGCACTACCTTGACGTGGTTGTGGGGCTTGTGTACTCTGAGGAAGATGAGAGCTATGCCAGAGGTTCAACCATACTGGACAGGTCTCATCAGAGGAGTCAGACAAAGAGTGTCTCTCCCATAAAAAATATGGTGAGACGTAAATTTCAGAATGCCATACCGGCTCGGACGTCGCCCGGGTTAACAAGGTCCGCACTAGATATTGGAGTTCCTGGATATCTGGTGAAAAATGGGTTCCAGGACTCAGGACTGTTGGCTGAGCAACCAGGGCCAGCAGCTGCAGAACTACTGGAAGAAAAGGTGTTTACCCGTCGCAGATACACAGTGATGGAAAACAAAGAAATAATGATCTGTTACTACAGATCAAGTCCAACAAGAAGAGGATATCTAAAACGAATGCACCAGTTCTGGAAAGAACAACATCCAGAATCAGAAATAACAGAACAGAGACTAGCAGATCAATGCCGATTTATAACACGAAATAAAGTATTCACAGAAACAGAATTGGACGAACTGCAAAGGTTTACCCAGGGCAAAGAAATCAAAGCCTTACCAGAAGTAATTCAGAATGTAGAGGCAAACCAGGGGGAGTTGGCAGTGAAGGAATCTAGCAGAGATATACAACTGTTCTCATTTGGAAACCAGGCACCTCTACCTCAGGAAGAACAAAACCCTCTAACTAAAGAAATAAAAGAATTGAAACAAAGAATAACTGAGCATCTAGAACAGCACAAAAACAACAGAATAAGGCTACCTGCATTGAAGCTTGTTCCAAAGAAACAGCTAGCACAAGCATTAAAAGATGCAAATACTGCAATATCAAGTATAAGCACCAATTCACTGCAAGAAACAAACCAACTAATGTACAGCACAGCTGCAGTTATAACAGAATACCTGGGATGCAAAATCAACAAAGAAGAAAAACAAACAAACAGTGCACCAGAAAAATGGAAGGTTAGACTAGAAAATAAGATCAGCAAGTTAAGATCACATGCAAGCAAGCTAGAACAGATGAAAGAAAAGAAGCTGAAGAACAAGAAGACCAAAGAATACCTAATCAAGAAATACCACTTAGAAACAAGGAAGATCAAGGAAGCACTGGAAATAATAAAGCAACAAATAACAGCTATAGCCAGGAAAATCAGTAGATATGAAGCTCGAATTGCAAACTATAGGCAGAACCTCCAATTTCAATCCAATCAGAAACGTTTCTACCAATCCATCAATGGAGAAACTGCAAGGAATCAGTCAGTACCTGACAAGGAAGAAACAGTGCAGTTCTGGAAGCAGATATGGGATAACCCAAAGAAATACAACAAGGATGCGGCTTGGTTAAAAGAGGTGGATGCAAATAAAACAGAAGTTGAAATGAAAGAACTAGTAATAACAACAAAAATGGTAGAAAAAAGAGCAAAGAAAATCAAAAATTGGTCAGCACCAGGTGAAGATGAACTGCATGGGTTTTGGTTGAAACATCTAACTGTTATACACCCACTCATTGCCAAGCAGTTCAACAATATACTACAAGGAGGAGAAATTGAAAAGTGGCTAACAACTGGGAAAACCTACCTAATAATGAAAAATCCAGCAAAAGGGGCAACACCAGGCAACTACAGGCCAATTACCTGCTTACCAACAACTTTCAAATTACTAACTGGTGTGGTAGCTGATGCAGTACAACAGCATCTAGTTGAAAACAATCTCTTTCCACCTGAGCAGAAAGGAAACCGCCCCAATAGCAGAGGAACAAAAGATCAACTCCTAATAGACAAAATGATCTTGGAAAACTGCAAGAGAAGGAAGACCAACCTGAATGTGGCATGGATTGACTACAAAAAGGCATTTGACTCTCTGCCACATGATTGGATAATAAAGTGCCTAGAAATAACAGGAGTCAGTAGAAACATCAGAAAATTTGTGCAAAGATCGATGGCACAATGGAAGACACAGTTGCAGATCAATGGTGAGAAGCTGGGAGAGGTTAATATCAAGAGAGGAATATTTCAAGGAGATTCATTATCACCATTACTATTTGTTATTGCACTGTTTCCTCTGTCAACAATACTGAATAACTCAGGACATGGCTATCAAACATCAAAAACATCTGCCAGACTATCCCACCTCCTTTACATGGATGATCTGAAGCTGTATGGAAAAACATCATCTGAAATAGAATCGCTGCTCAACACTGTCCGTATATATAGCCAAGATATTGTAATGGAGTTTGGCTTGGACAAATGTGCCACACTTACTATCAAACAAGGAAAAATAGTGAAAACTGAAGGAATCAAGATGCCCCACGAAAATAACATTAAGAGTCTGGATGAGGAAGAGTACTACAAATACTTGGGTATCCTTCAAGCTGACAACATCAAGCACACTGAAGTCAAGAAAAAGATTAGAGGTGAATACATCAAGAGAGTGAAGAAGATCTTAAAATCCAAACTCAATGGAGGAAATACCATAAAGGCAATCAACACCTGGGCAATCCCAGTCATTAGGTACACAGCTGGAATAGTGGACTGGACTCAAGCAGAACTAAAAGCAATGGATAGGCAGACCAGAAAAATAATGACAATGAATCATGCCCTTCATCCACGCAGTGACATTGATAGACTTTATCTACCAAGGCAAATAGGTGGGCGTGGAATGCTACAAGTACATCAGATGGTTGAAGAAGAAAAAATGGCTTTGGAAGAATATCTGAAGAACAATGATGAAGATGCACTGAAATTAGTATATCAGGAAGGCTTACTAACTACTGGAGAGACCAAACTGGCCTACAAGAAAGACCAAATGAAGAACAGAATAGAGGCATGGGAAGACAAAGCACTACATGGCCAATACATGAAAAAAATAGCTGGGAAAGCAGATAATAATAAAACCTGGCAATGGCTAAGAGCAGGAAAATTGAAGAAAGAGACCGAGGGACTAATTCTGGCTGCACAAGACCAAGCCTTAAGGACAAATGCATACAAAGTCAAAATTGAGAAGACAGCAACAGACAGTAAGTGCCGCCTATGCAAAGAAGCTGAAGAAACAGTGGACCACTTGGTAAGCTGTTGCAAGAAGATTGCACAGACTGATTACAAGCAGCGGCATGACAAAGTAGCAACAATGGTGCATTGGAAGATCTGCAAAAAATATCATTTGCCTGTAAGCAAAAACTGGTGGGATCATAAAATAGAGAAAGTCATAGAAAATGATAAAATTAAACTGCTCTGGGACTTCAGAATTCAAACAGACAAGCACCTGCAACATAACACCCCAGACTTAACAATTGTCGATAAGAAAGACAAAAAAGTCTGGATAGTGGACGTGGCAGTGCCTGGAGATAGCAGAATAGAAGAGAAAGAACTGGAGAAGATAACAAAATACAAAGACCTACAAATAGAAATAGAAAGACTGTGGCAAAAGCAAGCAAGGGTAGTACCAATAGTCATAGGCTCCTTGGGTGCAATCCCAAAACAACTGGAGCACCACTTGAACACCATTGGCATTGACAAATTCGCTATTAGTCAATTGCAAAAGGCGGCCTTATTAGGAACTGCTTCCATCCTGCGACGATACCTGTAATACCATCAAACATCCACATCTGCCTATCCCAGGTCCTGGGTAAGGACTCGATAGGTAGACAAAATGCCAAATCCAGTCTGAACATCTGGCTGACTGTGCGATGATCCATAATAATAATAATAACAATAATAATGTTTTCAGGGTTTTTTTGTATGTATGTTTATATGTTCTATTTAAGCCACTTTCATTTCTTTTCTCTTTCAGTTCTTTTGTGGGTGAACCTGGGAGCAGGTAAGACTGATACTTGTGTAGTTTTTCTGTGACCACACAAAGGTAGACTGTAATTGTTGCTTCTTGTGAAGGAGAGAGAGTAGGAGAAGTAGGAGAAGGAAGGGCAGAATCTGGAGGGGGAGTTAAAAAGGTTATCAGCCTAGAAACCCTACGTAGCCACAAGAAAACTCAGCCCAATCTCCCTTGAGTGCTATTGACCCTTATCCAACCCTTATCTAGCTGACAAGATTCCTATGCACAGGCTTTTAGCAATAAATGAACTGAACTGGAAGTTCACCTGTGGACTAGTCTTTTGCGCCTGACACAATATACTATAAGGCCCAAAGAAAAACATAAATGCAAAAGGGAACCTCATTTTCTTATCTTCTTTTTTCTTCGATGTGGGCAAAGTCCCATTGCCAGAGAGCCAGTCTGGCCTAGTGGTTAAGGTATCAGGCTGGAAAGTGGGAGACAGTGAGTTCTAGTCCATGAAAACTGGCTGAGTGACTTTAAGCCAATCAAATGGAGAGATGTCCACAACAGGGGCCCCCAACCTGTGAGCCACAGCACACTACTGGTCCGTAGCCTGCTGGCCACCCGGCTGTGAGGATAGCTGGCCGGTGTTTGCACATGTGCAAGCACACTCCCCCACACACTGGTAGTAGCAGTCACATGGGCACTGGTGGCCCCATTTGCACATGTGCGTGGATGTTAGCGCCACCGCACAGCTGCTAGTAGCCCCATTTGCACATTCTTGCAGGCACTAGCAGCCCTTTTTGCGTATGCACGAACAAATTTCCTTGCTCCTCCCTTTCCCTCCGGGCCACCAACCCAGAAAAGGTAGGGACCTGTGGTCTACAAAGCAAAGAGAGCAAAAGGAAGATAGTCCTAAAAGATCAGGGAGGGATGAAATCTCGATGGACCTTCATCCAAGCCATGAAGGGTAGGAGAAGCTTTCATTTGCAGCGTCGGTCCCTTTTTGTCCAACTCCTGTCCTTGCAAGAGGAAGCAGTGGGTCAAGGATTCTCAGAGTCGATTATGGATGGGAGCCATTCTGGGAATCAGGGTAGATGTTCTAGTCTAGAGATTTGGTTCCAGGAGGAGATCAGAAGGAAAGTCTCAATGTCTCCTCTTTCTTTCCTCAGGTTCACAGACAGATTCATCTCGATCAGCCCCCAGGCTGTCCTCGTCTCTTCCATACAGCTTTATTATTAAAGGAGAAGAGATTCCCTTGAATTGCTCCCTCCCCGAGGGAGTCGCGTCACGGAATCCTGAGGGATCCCATAAGTACTTATTCGAGTGTAAAGATCAATCTGGCAAATTAGTTGGATTTCGACATCTCCCTAACAATACCTTCAATATCAGGACTGAAAATCTTACCCCTTACCAAATAAAGATTATATGTAAATGCAAGATCAAGCAATCATTTGGGGAATGGTCTCCTTCTCCTGAAAGTAACCAGCTGGTCTTCTCAGTTGTAGGTAAGATGGATCCTCGTTGCCCATAAATATTCACATCAAAGGCACTTCTAATACTCAACCTATGAAAACGCACAATAAAGCTTTCAAAAATTAATCCAGTGAACCAAACAAGCAGAGCCACATTATACAAATAATGCCTCCCCTAAGAAAATAGTCAGGAGGACTTTCCTTCAATGGGAAAAATATCTCCCAAATGGAATATTTTGGTTGTGACGACTCCCCTGCTTTAATGGAGACATTAATATGTTCTTTATGAACCTTTCTTGCAGGTGAACTTCCTTCCCCACTGCTGAATGTGGATCCGTTGTCTCAGGTGGTGAAGGAAGGTGACCCTTTGGTCTTCCTCTGCTCAGTGGAAGGAGGCAACGCAGAGAAGGTCTTCCATTTCTACAAGGATGGGATGGAGATCTCCCCCAGGGAAGAAGGTCTTCTGGAACCCTCCAGTGAACCCACAGATCGTGTTCAAATTGCCTCTTTGAGAATCCTATATGCCTCGTTCAACCTCAGAGGGGAATTTGCTTGCCATTATGAAGAACGAAGAAGCAACCGATGGCTCATGTCTTCTTGGAGCCAGGGGATAAACATGACAGGTGAGCCAGTTAGGGGAATGATGGATGTGGTTAAATCTTAAGACCACCATGATAGGCTAGACTAGGAAAGACAAAGAAAAATCTATAGAAAGTCAATTGGCTTCTGTGAGATTGCTAAGCTAATTCCACGAAGAAGACCATGAAAAGTTTAGAAGTGAGACAAATATAAGAGGTGAATATTTCAATTTTAAGGTGAAATAGGATCTAAACTTTCAAGAACAGGACAGGGTAAAAATATTCTGCCAAGGAACATTAAATCATCCTCCTTCTTTCCTAGTCATACCAGTTTGGACCCAAGGTTTATATTCTGTTTGGAGATATGCCCGGAGATGGATTCTTTTTCTAATTCTGCTGGTTCCAATTGCCTTTTATTGCTGGAAGCAAAAGAGCAGTAAGCGAAGGATTTGGGTTCGAGGGTTCCCTTATCAGAGGTTGCTCTTGTAGTTGGATATGTTGATTGAGAGATCCTCTGGGGAAGCAGGAAAGGAAAAGCAGAACTGGAAATGAGAGGGATGGGAAGATGATATGTAAGGGTGGTGGAAAGTAGCTTCATGTTTTTTTTCCTTTTTTATTGCTGCCATGGAAGCATCTCAATCACAGGAACAATTTCAACTAATGGAAAAGATAGAGAAAAATCATCTTTCAGTGATGGAGCCTCAAGCAGCAACACCCTCATCAGTCAAGGTAGCTGGTGGAATTCATGGGTGACTTTAATTAGTGTCTACAGCAGGGGTCTTCAAACTTGGCCCATTTATGACTTGTGGACTTCAACTCCCAGAATTCATTATCCAGCATGCCTGGCTGAGGAATTCTGGAAGTTGAAGTCCACAAGTCATAAAAGGACCAAGTTTGAAGACCCCTGGTCTACAGGGAAGGTCTGTCACACTGGAGAGTGATACTAGGTTTATGGAATCCTCACCAATAACTTACGGTGTCCTCTGGAATCACCCAACTATGGTTGTCTACAAACAAGAATGATATAGATGGGCTTTAGCGGGCCTGAAGCATATTGGTGCAATGTTAGTAGATAGTGAACTTAAATCTTAAATTCAAGCAGGATTTGCCTTCCATAATCCCATTTGTTTTGATCTCTGGTCAACACGTATTCTCCGTTTCTTCATTTACTTGGTTTCAATGAAAGAATTTAGGCATTTTAGTACCCCTGGATATTCCTTTAAAAATAGGAAATAATAATTCTCTTTATGGCTTTCAGTATAACAAATTATGTGTTGGCCGTAAAATTAAATGGCCTTGAAATTCGAAAATTTGAATAGGAAGAGAAAGATATACTTAAGAAAATTAAGTATCTTAGAAGCCATCAAAGATTCCTCTAATCAAGTGTTGGAGGCAAGGTTTTAGAGGAATGTCCTTGCGGATTTCTCAGGAGTATCTCATCACCATCAGAATCAGAAAACCAGACCGGGTCAGGTCTGATGCCGAAAGTCAATCCTTCTGTTCTTTGATGGCCTTGGCAATCTTTCTAGAAGACAAGTCAACCTTATTTATTTCTAAAAATGCTGCAAAATGATGGAGAAATCCCTTGTTCTTCATGGTTTTTGAGCTGCAGGCAAACTGAATGTTTGAACAATGTGCTCTCTTTCCCTTAGTTTCCCCCGGACTCTGAGGCCACCTACAGCAATGTTCAGGACTTTTCCACTCAGAAGAACCAACTTACAGAAGAGGAAGAAGAGGGGGCACCGTATATAAACTTGATTGCAGGAAAATAAGATAACTCTCTTGGAAGGTGATCCTTTGATCTTCCTCTGCTCAGTGGAAGGAGGCTACACAGAGAAGATCTTCCATTTCTACAAGGATGGGATGGAGATCATCTCCCAGGGAAAAAGGTCCTCTGGAAGCCTCCAGTGAACCCACAGATCATGTTCAAAGTGCCTCTTTGAGAATCCTACATGCGTCATTCAACCAAGAGGGGAATTTGCTTGTAGTTATGATGAAATGCACCGTGTCCTGCTCTTTGTTTTTGTATTTTTGCATTTTACTTTATAATCTAATAAAATGTTACAAATTGAAAAAATAATTAGGATAATCCTTCTGGTGTTTTAGACAGAAGCAACGATTTTCAGAAGTGTTTCAGAAATGTATCAGAAATAATTTTTTTTTCCAATTAACGGATGATCATTTGCTTTATTCTGTCTGTCTGTGGCTCCGCTACGGGAAATGCGTGGCTGAGGACGAGCAACACAGCTGATCAGGTCAGACACCGAGAGAGGTGGGGTGGGGTGTCAGACCTTGCAAAAGAGCAGAACAACATGGCTTCTTGGCTTTCACACCTCCACCTCACCGGATGGCTATTTTTATTTGATTTCATTGGTTTTATTCTATTGTTCATTCTCTTTGGGCACAAGAGAGCTCAGGAGGACGGGGGAAGTTCTCTGCTGCAGAGAGAAAGGCTTTGGTGTGGTGAAGGAGGCCGGGGGGGGGGTGGCGAGCTGCGTCCTGGGCTGGGAGGGCGTGGGTGTGATGTCCTCGGTGGGGATGACGCAGTTCCTCCCTTGGCCGTTGAGTTGGAGGACTGACTCAGGAGAAGTTGCAGCTCTTCATCTCTCTGGGGAAGGAAGAAGAGAGCGACGGAGACCTCCTTCTCAGGAATCCTGAAGATGGAGACCATCATTTGGATAACAGGTTTGGGACCTCCTTCTTCTTTCTCCCTCGCTTCTAAATCTAAATATTCTTCTTTCCCTGTGGCCAAGATCATGGTACACCTGCATCCTTTCCTCTTCTTCTTCTTCTTCCTCCTCCTCCTCCTCCTCCTCCTCCTCCTCCTCCTCCTCCTCCTCCTCCTCCTTCTCCTCCATCATCTGTGCTAGTCCTGATGTTACCTAGTTTGGGTCATGAACCTGAAGCACAAATGGTTCCTGTAGTCTTGAATATTTTCTGGAAATCCGTTCATCCTCTCGCACCATTCTTGGAGGAGAAGTGAAACGTCTTCGAAGAAAAACAAGAGAGTCCAGTTGCCTCCTGAAAAAAAGCATCTTTGGCTCAAAGTGACCGCTTTAATTGACATGAATTTAATCTATGGGTCATCAAGATATTTTTTTATCTCCATCCTAAAGTCAGGATGTTTCTTTTAAAAAGGGTCCCGTTTATATGAAATATAAAATCAATCTTCTTTTCCCTCAAAATATACCAGTTTTTAATCCCGTTTTCAAGGTCTCACTGCGTAAGGTTTTCCTCTTCAGTCCTCCATTTTGCTTTTCTTGCTTTTCTTCGGCTTCTCTCGTCTACATTCTGGGAAGCCCCATTACGGAAATGGAAACTGCCAGTTTTTCACAGAGATCTTGAGGTTTTGTGTGTGTGTGTCTGTTTGTGTGTGTGTATCTGTGTTCTGTTTAAGCCACTTTCCTTTCTTTTCTCTTCTAGTTCTTTGGTGGGTGAACCTGGGAGCAGGTAAGACTGATACTTGTGTAGTTTTTCTGTGACCACACAAAGGTAGACTGTGATTGTTGTTTCTTGTGAAGGAGAGAGAGTAGGAGAAGTAGGAGAAAGAAGGGCAGAATCTGGAGGTAGTTAAAAAGGTTATCAGCCTTGAAACCCTACGTAGCCACAAGCAAACTCAGCCCAATCTCCCTTGAGTGCTATTGACCCTTATCCAACCCTTATCTAGCTGACAAGATTCCTATGCACAGGCTTTTAGCAATAAATGAACTGAATTGGACGTTCACCTGTGGACTAGTCTTTTGCGCCTGACACAAAATACTATAACGCCCAAAGAAAAACATAAATGCAAAAGGGAACCTTATCCCCTCATTTTGTTATCTTCTTTTTGCTTTGATGTGGGCAAAGTCCGATTGCCAGAGAGACTGTCTGGCCTAGTGGTTAAGGTATCAGGCTGGAAAGTGGGAGACAATGAGTTCTAGTCCATGAAAACTGGCTGAGTGACTTTGAGCCAATCAAATGGAGAGGTGTCTACAACAGGGGTCCCCAACCTGTGAGCCACAGCACACTACTGGTCCGTAGCCTGCTGGCCACCGGGCTGTGAGGATAGCTGGCCGGTGTGTGCACATGTGCAAGCACACTCCTCCCCCCACTAGTGCTAGTAGTCACATGGGCACTGGCACCCCCATTTGACATATGCTTCAGTGTTAGCACCACCGCACAGCAGCTAGTAGCCCCATTTGCACATTCGTGCAGGGACTAGCAGCCCTTTTTGTGCCTGCATGCACAAATTTCCTTGCTCCTCCCTTTCCCTCTGGGCCACCAACCCGGAAAGCGTGGGGACCTGTGGTCTACAAAGCAAAGAGAGCAGAAAGGAAGACAGTCCTGAAAGATCAGGGAGGGATGAAATCTCAGATGGACCTTCATCCAAGCCATGAAAGGTAGGAGAACCTTTCATTTGCAGTGTCGGTCCCTTTTTGTCTACAACAGGAGTCCCCAGACTATTTGTTGCAGCCCACTACTGGTCCGTAGCCTGCTGGCCACCAGGCCATGAGGATAGCTGACCGGTGTGTGCATATGTGCATGCACATTCCCTACCCCCACTTGTGCTAGCAGTCGCACTGGCCCTGGGGGCTCCATTTGCACATGTGCACTGGCGTTAATGCCACTGCACAGCTGCTAGTAGCCCCACTTGCACATGTGTGCAGACACCAGCAGCCTCTTTTGACTATATACGTGCATGCATGCATTTCCTTCCTCCTCCGTTTCCTTCCGGGCTGCCAACCCGGAAAGGGTGGGGAGCTGGGTCTGCAAAGCAAGGAGAGCAGAAAGGAAGACAGTCCTAAAAGATCAGGGAGGAATGAAATCTTGGATGGACCTTCATCCAAGCCATGAAGGGTAGGAGAACCTTTCATTTGCAGTGTCGGTCCCTTTTTGTCCAACTCCTGTCCTTGTAAGAGGAAGCAGTGGGTCAAGGATTCTCAGAGTAGATTATGGATGGGAGCCATTCTGGAAATTGGGTGGATGTTCTTTTTTAGAGATTTGGTTCCAGGAGGAGATCAGAAGGAAAGTCTCAATGTCTTCTCTTTGTTTCCTCAGGTTCACAGACAGATTCATCTCGATCAGCCCCCAGGCTGTCCTCGTCTCTTCCATACAGCTTTATTATTAAAGGAGAAGAGATTCCCTTGAATTGCTCCCTCCCCGAGGGAGTCGCGTCACGGAGCCCTGAGGGATCCCATAATTTCTTATTCAACTGTACTGATCAATCTGGCAAATTAATTTATTTTGAATATCTCCCTAACAATACCTTCAGTGTCAGGACTGAAAATCTGAACTTTGACCAAATAAAGATTATATGTAATTGCAAGATCAGGCAATCATCTGGGGGATGGTCTTGTTCTCCTGAAAGTAATCAGTTGGTCTTCTCAGTTGTTGGTAAGATGGATACTCATTGCCTGGAAATATTCACATCAAAGGCAGATTTAATACTCAACCTATGGAAATGCACAATAAACCTTTCAAAAATCAATCCAGTGAACCAAACAAGCAGACCCATCATTAAATAAATAACGCCTCCTCTAAGAAAATGGTCAGGAGGACTTTCCTTCAAAGGGAAAAATATCTCCCAAATGGAATATTTTGGTGGTGACGACTCCCCTGCTTTAATGGAGACATTAATATGTTCCTTGTGAACCTTTCTTGCAGGTGAACTTCCTTCCCCGCTGCTGAAGGTGGATCCGTTGTCCCAGAAGGTGAAGGAAGGTGACCCTTTGGTCTTCCTCTGCTCAGTGGAAGGAGGCAACACAGAGAAGTTCTTCCATTTCTACAAAGATGGGATGGAGATCACCCCCAGGGAAGAAGGTCTTCTGGAACCCTCCAGTGAACCCACAGATCGTGTTCAAAGGGCCTCTTTGAGAATCCTACATGCCTCGTTCAACCACAGAGGGGAATTTGCTTGCCGTTATGAAGAAAGGAGACGCAACCGATGGCTCATGTCTTCTTGGAGCCAGGGGATAAACATGACAGGTGAGCCAGTTAGGGGAATGTTTGATGTTAAATCTTGAGACTAGGAAGGACAAAGAAAGACCTGGAGAAAAGCAAATGGCTTTTGTGGGATTGTTAAATAACTCCACAGAGAAATCCATTAAAGTCGGGAATCGAGCTTGATAAAAAAAAAAGGTGTGTGTGTTTCATTTGTTGATTTAACAGAATCTAAACTTTGAAGAACAGGGCAGGTTAAGATGTTCTGTAAGAAATACTAAGTCATCCTTCTTCTTTGTTACTCAAACCAGTTTGGGCCCAAGATTCAGATCCTATTTGGACATATTCCTGGATGGCGATGCTTCTTGTAATCCCGCTGGTTCCCTTTGCCTTTTATTGCTGGAAAAAAAAGAGCAGTAAGTGATGTGATTGAGGTTCAAGGGATCCTTACCTGGAGTCAGAGGTTGCTCCTTGTGGTTGCAACTCTTGACAGAGAGATTGTAAGGGGAGGCAGGAAAGGAGAGCCAGGCTTGGAGGTGAGAGGGAGGAGAACGCAATAGACGAGGGTGATAGAAAGAAGCAATTTCATCTTCCTTTTTATTTTCATTCCTGCCTTGGAAGCATCACCATCCCAGGAACACTCTCAGCTTCCAAAAAAGAAGGAGGAAGGAAATGATCTTGCAGTGATGGAGCCTCAAGCAGCAACGGCAGTTACACCCACACCTGTCAAGGTAGCTGGTGGGATTCATGGGTGACCTTAATCAGGGTCTGCAGGGAAGGTCTGTTTACATTGTGGAGGGAAACCCAGTTTCATCCCCACTATTGATGGTGTCCTCTGGAGTCACCCAACTTTTATGATGAAACAGGAACGAAGCAGATAGGATTTAGAACCTCTAAAGTTTAATTCTTCCATTCAGGCAGAATATGCTTTCCATAAATCCATTTGTCTTGATCTCTTTGAACATCTGCTCTACGTTTCTTGGCCTGCTGGGTTTCAAAAACAGAATTT